AGGGTAGTAATACTTCTTAATCGGATGATATGATCTGAATCTAATTGAATTCAGGATTCATGACGAATTCATCAATACACAATGTTGATATTTGATGTGATGAACAAAATTTTACGAATGAATATAGATTAAATAACTAAATTAATGAATACTATAGCATAACGAATCTCTCTTACCGCTTTTCCTCATTCGTAGTGTGTTCTTGCCCTTTGTGATTTTCAGGACCACAAATTCTTGTAGAGCTATCTGAAACACTTCCTGTAATGGGCTGAGCTAATAAAGGAGGAATTATTGAGGATATTGAGGAGGGTGGATTAGATGCTATTAAGTCCATGGCTTCCACGGTAGGAAGGTTTTCCTCCTGAGTAGATGGGACCACTTCGAGAAGGCTGGTATCTGTTGGAAAGGTGTCTACAATCTGCATCGATGTCAAGAGGTGGAAATTAAGATGTAGTGGTTAAATGGGAGAACAGCAAAAATGCATAGATGATTCCATAAGGTTATTATGATTATGTGAACATCCTAAAATAGATTATTTAATGCAAGAGATTTCCAAAATATCCGGTTCTGAATTTGGGCTTGTCTTTGTTGCGAAAGCCCATCAACTAAGAACTGAGGGGTTCCATAAGCAAAATGTAAACAGTCCAAGAGTGTGAAATTAAAAGGCGTGGGCAAATATAGTCGACTAAGGAAAAAATAGCCCAATAACTCTGAATTTAAATACAATCCAGAGTCAGCAAATAGTAATATCAAACTGAGAACTTGTTATCCTGTAAATATGTTATTCAAAGGAATTACTATGCATGAAAAGAATTACCGGAACGATAGGCACGTCACGCAAGAATAAATGTTTCTATCAAATAAAATTCCTGGTATACTAGATACAAGGATGAATGCGATTTAAATACCGTTTCAGAAAGACGTTTTTGAAACGGATTTTAAATAAATTAATGAATAAAATAAGGATTAAATTCGAAGAGTAACTGGTCCCTCACTAATCTTTTAAGACAACATTGTTGGAGAGACTTTCATTTCGTATGACATCAGAGTTAGACACTATCTCAGCCCGTTTTCGCTCGAAACCAGGGAGGATGATTCGTAGATTGCCTTAACGTGAGTGTCGTAGTAAAGCCAAAAGGCCTCAGTACAACGAGAATCGGCCGTCGTCTTTTTGTGAGATCGACCTGCGAATCTCTTCATATCAAATAAAGATCACTTATTTGGGAGTGTGTATAATCAAGCCAATGAATTAATAAAAGATCAGTGAGATATTTACTAACAAAACAGCTAATGCCAAAAGACTATCAATACCCCCTCGAAAGCTACCATTGATATTCTTTGAGCTGTGGAAAT